ACTGTGGTAAGAATGTACTGTGGTAAGAATGTACTGTGGTAAGAATGTACCGTGGTAAGAATGTACTGTGGTAAATATGTACCGTGGTAAATGTACTGTGGTAAATGATCAAATCTGAAAATAAATAGTATTAAATAGAGGACTTGGAAAAGATGAGAATGAAAGAATCGTTTCAGGAGTGACGTCAGTGTGGACAATGAAAAATAAAAAGTAAAAGTTCTGGCAGACCTCAAGTCCACGACTCAGCTGAGGTTTCACTTTCCACTTCATTCATTCATTCATCAATGCAGCACGAACGGTGACGTAACCAATTATTGCTGAAAACTGATCACATTCGGAACATGAGCATGACTTCCTGAAACATTTCTTTGGACCTTGGTGGAAACCCTGACCCGGTACCTGCAAGTTCGGAGCTCCGGTCGGACTGAAGGACTGAGGCCGCCGGAAACCGAATCCCTGGTTCCGCGTGTGATCCCCGAAACCTTGGCATCCGCTGTTAGGAACCGAGGAGAACCTTGGAGAACCCGGAGAGTCCGGGACCCGCGCCCGAGGCGAGCGCCAGCACGGAGACCGACTCCCGGGGAGAGTCCAGCCTCGTGCCGGGGAAGGGAACCTTCCAGGACTCCGCGGAGATCTGACCGGAGGTCGGTACATCTGAGCCGAGTAGACTAACCAAAGAACTGGACTCAAAGAATCGGACCAGGAACAACGTGATGTGCTGAAAGGACCCGGAATCTGAAAGAGGGGTGTTCTCTGCACAGATATATAATCACTAGATCCCTCATCGGCTGCTGCGGCGCAGGAACTTCGGCCGCCATCTTGGAGCGGTCGTCTTATTTGTTAAATCAGAAGATGTCTCAGCACTTCGCAGCTTCTTTCTGTTCAGATCGACTGTTGACGTCAGGTCTCGGGGGATAACTTTTCACAGTAACATGAACATATTATTGTTAGTATTTTGAGAATATAATATTACTGTACTGTATTTATGTCCACCAGCTGATGTGATGTTCAGTGTAACACGGTGTTCAGCTGCAATGAAGCTGACTGAGATTCAATTCAATTCAATTCAAAAATACTTTATTAATCCCAGAGGGAAATTATTTGTTGTTGTAACTCGTTATCCTCATTTCATTAAGAGATGTTATAGATGCTGATGCTGTAGACAGGAAGGATCTCTTGTAAAGGTCCATCCCACAGTGGATCCTAAGAAACTGGTTGCAGATGCCGTCAGATACGTCCACCCAGAGTCCCAGACTCAGATGGTCTCTCGGTTCCCCCGGGCTGTAGGACCGCCTGAATGCTGGACAGAACTCCTCCCAGAGCGATGGCCACTCCTCCCAGCAGCTGCTGAGCTCCTCGTCGCTGCGGACAGCCAACTGTAGGTGCTGAGGGACGATCCTTTCCTTCTGCTGTCATGATCCGTGTTTCCTGCTAGTTCCAGGATCTCAGTGGTCAGGCACTCGAGCACAGCTGGCAGGTAGATGAGAATGCATCCACAGAACATCCTTTCAACTCATTTGAGATTTGGGGCTGTAGTTGAGATATTAGTTGAGCTTTTGAGATGTTAATCAGCTGCTGTTGGTTGTAGAAAACTGCCTTGTTGCCATGGTTACGCATCATAACAAATGTCCAAAACTAAAAGAGTTTCAGTAAAAATCCTTCCAGCTGCTCAGCATCTGATACCAGAGGAAACAATCATCCAAAAAATGTGATTTACATCCAGAAACAGAGGAATTAAAGTTTCCAAAAGCAAAATGTCAGAATGAAACAGAGCTGCTCCAACATGCAGACACCTGGAGCGGTGCAGTTCTAGAACATAAGAGATCTGATGACAGGAATATTTTGCTAACAATCATACTCACTGTTTCAGCAGCTTTGGTTCATTTTCAACAGATCTGCATCAGAACTGGAGTTTTGTTTAAGTTCTAGGAAATAAAAAATAAAACTAGGGAGAATATAGGAAATAGAAAATAAGCTTGACCTCCTCTGTACAATGATTTTGTGTAGACACAAATGTCCTGTTTTCATTTTGAAGGTTTCCCAAAGAACAAGATGTGAGGAAGAGGAGGAAGTATCTTTGAGGAGGATTCATCTGAGCAGTGAGGATTTTAAACTGGAGGATTTTGATCAAACTGATCAGACTGTCCGACTGAGAGATGGTGTGGTACCATGGGTTCACCTTCAGAGAGTAGGAGCATCATTATAAGTTCATTAGAGTTCATAAAGTTACATATTTTATTGTGAGTCACCAGGTGAGACCCCTCCATGTGTTTCTATGAACAGGTAACTAGAGACTGTAAAGTTCATCTTCATGATGCTTTTTCATTTCAGCTTGAAAACTGCAGGACTACAGGAAGTGAACACAAGCTGCAGCTGCTCTGTCTGTGCACGCTCAGGAACGTGCACGTCACACACACAACCTCAGGAACGTGCACGTCTCACACACAACCTCAGGAACGTGCACGTCACACACACAACCTCAGGAACGTGCACGTC